GCGGAAAGTGACGGGAGAGCGAAGAAAAAAAAAGGAGAAAAAAAGCTGGAGAGCTGGTTAAGGAAACGCGGTTCGGAACTCGAAGAAAGAGAATACAGGTATAAGGGGATGGTAGGATACACGTAGGAGTGCCGCAGGAGATGGCAACGTCGACTGCGACGCGATGCCGGAATAGGGGGAGTCGCTGTAAGTTTTGATATATGCGCGACATTATTTACGATCGCATAAGAATTAGCTCAGACGGCCGCCAAAGCCCATCCCTCGGCAAGAGCCGTCGCAAAAAGCCGGCATCAGCCGCGGACTGGCACTGCACTCGAGAGGTTTTTGCGCGCGGCGCATTGGCTTCCTCAAAAGTCGTTAAATCCCGCGCCGCTTTCGACAAATCGCGCGCAAATGGCACTTCTTGCCGCGTGCGAATGTTCGTGGGTAGAAACGTTCGTGGATACTTGAGGAGATGATGCATGCGAGAACGAAGGACTGCGTCGCATAAATGCCTCTTCTGATTTAATAAGAGATCGGAATCTGATGTACTAGGCAATTACAGCGAAAGGAAAACAATATTTGATAAGAGAAATGTATTCGCTTGACTCGGATCATTTTTCTTCTTATATACGAATTCAGCATCATGAGTAATAAATGGCCATACTTTCTGTATAAATTAAAACATTAACATATAAATTATCTATGAATTATTAATGAAAGATGATCGTACAAAGATGCATGCGGATCTTGATTTTATCTGAGTTAATCTCTTCCTCTTTTTCTCTATGATGATCTACTTATTTGTTATGAGAAAACGAAATTGAAAATGAGAAAGTTAAATTTGGAGAAAAGTAATTTTATTCTAATGCAGTATCTCGCACTAATTAACTATCCATGAGCGATGCTGGTATTTTAATTAAGACACAGATCATTTATTTCGAGTAACCGATATAAATTCAGATCGATCCGAAAACTCGAGCGAGAGCTCGTGCGAAAACATTCCAATGTGTTTTATTTTAACTCACCTCCTACAAATCCCACGAGGTATTTTCATATTTCGGAGCGCGTTCATCAAATTGTTAATTGAGTCAGCGGCGCCCGTCCCAATAAAATTCAATAAAATACCTCGGCCGTCGTGGTTTCATCGTACGAACTTTAACGATCGATGGTTTTTAATGATCTTAATTCAACTTTCTAATCTTGATAACAATAGTTATCAGTTTAATTCCGGCTATCGATATAAATGCCAATAATTAATCGTAAGATGATCAATTAATGGTTATCCCTTCGGTAATCTCGCGCTAGACGATAGAAAAGAAAAGTTTCTTTTCCTCCGCCATCGGCTTTTCGATAAGAATATTAAGAAGAATAAAAGTTTGGATATCTCACCAGACACTGTTATATATACGGAAAAAGCGTGCGCTGCTTTTGAAACATTTTTTAAATTGGCTCCAAAAATGAGATTCGAGGAAATTATTGCAAGTATTTCCAATAATGCTGAATAATCGCAATTCTTTCATAATTCTTTTAATTTTGAATACGGCGAAATAAATCTGCGACTAAAAAAATCAAAATAAAGTTTTGACCATATTTTTTTTATTTTGCCACAATTCAGTTATTAATCTTTTTTAATAAGAAACTTTTGTAATTTTAATATCGTTTTCCGAGGTACATGATATTTGCGTGTCATCCGACAGAAATATTTTTATGCAGGCGCGCGCTCTCATAAAAATGTCCGCTGTCCCGTTTAATCCCATTGCAATGGCACTTTCTTCGGACTCAGCTCGTTCGTACCGATAAAAACTGCGCGAATTCGCAATCTGCAAAACTGGAAAACGAGTGGCCGGACTTCTGATTTATCGTCCGGGCTCTCGCGCGGTCGCGTATCGTGCCTGCGGTTGATGTATCGTACGCATACGTATACACACATGAGTGAAGTGACTGCTGCAAAGTGACTCACAATCAGACGAAAATTCAGTTTTGCGATACGTGCGAGTGAATTAAAAGCGGTTCCTCCTCTATGCGTCGCGCGCTATTTTTTCCGTCCTCTCGCTTCGGGATGCATTCAGTGCATTCGCGATTCGATAAATTCACGTATTATAAGTTACGTAATAATAATAATGAACCTTATATATTGTATGCAGCATTTATATAGTGGATATTTAAGTCAAGTCGTAAGCTAATAAATTTTTAATTGCTTGTTTCTTTTTTTCTCTTGGTTACACTAATTAAGGGCTGGCTTAACGAGTAAATGGATAATTTATTACGTGTGTTGCTCATGCGATTCTGCGCAACGTAGGTATTAATTTTATATTCTCTCGGAGATTTACACCGACATAACATGAGAATTCTACGTGGAGTCGTATTATACAGTATTTAAACAGTGTTTACAATCGTATAAATAATAATAAGAAATTTCGTAAGTCTATGTCAAGTATAATATTATTATGTTTTCGCTGTTTGGATTTATAATTTTATTTATTCGCAGTATTAAAATATATTAAACTTACCTTTATTAAAAAGTGTCAAAGTGTCAAGGTTCTTTATTATAAAGTAATCTTCTCTCCCTCTCTTCAGTCATTTAAAAAAATATATCTACAATGTCATTATTTATAAATTATTTCTTGTATAATTTTTATATAAAATATCAATTAAAATTTCTATTCGCTCGTGTATTGTATAAAACAACAAAAGTATTCAAAAAAAGGCCAACTTATCGAGCAATATTTAAGATGACATAAGGAGAATATGTATGGAAGGTTTTTTTTGTAAATTTAATATTTTGTTTATGAAATAAATTTCAATTGGATACAACATCTTAAATATTGCTCAATAAGTTGGCCTTTTTTTGAATACTTTTGTTGTTTTATATAAAATTTTCCCCTAACATACGCGTGGCAAATTTAATAAATATTAATTTTCAAAAAAAATGATTGTGCAAGAGCAAAAAAATGGAAAATATAAACGTTTCATATTTCATGTTCACGTTTCATATTGATAATTAATTGTTTCACATTATATCATGTCACATTTTAAGATCAGAAATTAAGTTTCTATACAGAAAGTTGTGTTTTAGCACTTGATAAGGGCCGAAACGTCGTGAATATTAAATAAAGATTATTAAATAGCCAGAGTTGGTTGATTAAATTACTACCATGTTTCATATTTCTTTCTCAAACTTCACCCCGATTCGCGCGATATTCATTTTCACGTATCTCGCGATATTTTTATGTCAATATACGCTCGTAAAAATCGGACGATGCAGTTCGCTTAGCTACGCGCGGGCGATAGTTTTCTTCGCCCGCGCGACATATAAACCGCGTAAATCCGCAATCTACGAGGCCGCGAGTTTGCCTAAGTTCTGATTTATAGTCACGTGGGGCGCGTTTAGCGCGCGAATAGACACGCGGAAGGGATAGATAGCGGCATGGGCGTACGTACGCGCTTTTCGTTCAAGGAAAAATGCGACACGACGAGCCACGGGCGCTTCCTCGCAATAACCTCCGAAGGGAAATTCACGATAATAGAGACTACCCATGTGAATTTCGCATGCAAGTGTCCCTACGATCCTCCGGTGTCTGCTTCCTCTCTTCGTCGGTTTTCATCCCTTTCCGTGCCATTCGTTCCATTTCCACCCTGGCACATTCTTATGTACTTTTCGGTTTTTGCTGATGTCTTCATAATTTTTCAGACCCTTTTCTTTATTACAATATTTTTCTCTTCAGTCTATTGCTTTAGACGAGAAGAGCATTTGGTGAGCGCGAAGAAAGATTGAAAAATCTTCCGAGACGGAAATAAACGACGAAACAATCAGTTTATCTAAATCTGTATTTTAGCTTTAAGAAAATGTGTTAAGAATGTGCGACGTAAAAACGAGAGGAAGAACAAACAATCTCTTTCTTTTTCTTCTCTCGGCTTTATCGATTGTGCTTAAAACTATTTACTTTCATTTTCTTCCCTTCTTCTAGTTTCACATTTACTCTTTCAATTTCATAGAGAGAGAGAAAGAGCGAGAGAGAGATAAAAAGAAGAAAACAAAATAGTAAAACGTGTAACGAGAAACTTGCGCGGGGAAAGAAGAAAGGGAAGAATCTCCGCTTATACCGCTTCCTCTTCCGCGAGTTTCTTCCTTTCTCTCAAACTCCACTCTCTCTTCGTCACCGTCCTTCTACCTGTGAACCGCAATTTCTCTCCTTCCGCGATTCCTCATTCCTCGTTCCTCGGACATTCCCGTTTCTCGTCTCTCGCGCGCAGGAGTATACACACTCTCGAGCGAGCGGTCTTCCGTCTTTTCCATCCCTCTTCCGTTCCTTTTCATCCCCCGTCGCGGCGACTGAGGGGCTGAGCTAGACAAATAGCTCCGGCGTGAAATACCGCCGCCTCTTTAAAACTTTAAAGTGTTTCGAGTAATCCTAAGGCACGACTTTACATCATGGTTGTACCCCGTCGAGGATACACGCAAGCGTAGGAGGAAATGGAATATCGGTGCGCCCGCGGTGGGCTTCCGGCTACGTTCGTGGGCACATCCGGCGACAGCGAGATTTCCCGGAAGATTGCGAGGCGCGCGTAAGTGTACTGTTATTACATCATTATGCCCCGCAAAATATATATTTATATATAATTTTATATTTTTTTCATTTTTTGTGTCTCGTGTGTAATCTTCAATTTTTATTAACTTGTCTGTTATTAATATAAATATGATGTTTTTGAAATCGGCCAACAGAGCCAAAACACGAAAAATTAATTATTCGGAACTGTATCTCTTGGTTTGAGATCGCTAAGTTCCATATATAAATTAATCTCGAAACTTACATTTGGAAAAAAAAAATATTTCTTTCTCATTGTCTAATATTGTTTTAAATTAATATTTTTTTTTTTTTTAGAGAAAATTGCGGTTATAAATAAAAATACCGTATATAAAAAGATAGAGGAAAAAATGATACTTCTAATTAATAAATATAAATTATTTGGATACTACTTGGTTTAAGATATGCGAGTGGAAAAAGATTGTGACTAACCTTCCTCAACGACCAAAGTGACAGTAGCTGATCGACCCTCCGTCGGCCTGCATGAATAGTTTCCAATGTCATCTTGTGTCACCGCCGCCAAAATCAACACAGATACTGTACGTGCCGCACCTTTTTCGGTCTCCACACTTATTCCTCCGCGCGCTGCCTAGGGAGGAAGAATGTACAAATGAAGTAAGTAACGGGAAATTTTTGGAATACTTGAAAGATAGAAGCAAAACTCATATTTTCCAAAACTTACGACAAGATTCAAAGTATTTAGATTTTGATAAATTGCCAAAACTGTTTTATTTAAAAATTGCATACATAGAATTATTTTTCTGTAGATTAGAGTTTTCTCATATATAATTCCATGTATTTAAAAAACTCAGAGGAAAATATATGAGTAGTTTGCTTTTATATGTGTTTTATATCTATATATTTCTATATATTGTTCATCATATTTCATTTATACATTGACGTTCCGTTATTTTAATTCCAATCCATATTTTTATATATGCCAATAAATGTAAATGCACTTATATTATCATTCAAATCAATAGAACAAATATAAACTTATTCAGACTACACATCTATAAATCAATATATAAAAATAAAATTATTTAATATGATAAACTAGCTCTCTCTCTCTCTCTCTCTGAGAATACATCAAGTTACGAGTCACGCATTCGAGGGAATAATAAAATTTAGTACGTGCATCCAAGATAAAGTTGTAATATCAGATTTATCGACGTCGTTTAAAAATTTTTACATTACGGTACTTTACACAAATTAGCAACTTTGAAGCGTCAGAAGTTAATTTATTAAAAAATTCATAAATATATGCCAATATATATTATAATTTTCCGTATAAAAATAAAGTTTATGAAATTTGTTTTAATAATAACAAGCAGTAAATAATGAGAGAAAAAATATCAGCTAAAGAAAATCGATTCCAGCTGTTTCTAAAGACGTCGCGTCACACAAGCACGTATATACCAGATAATCGCGACAAAACCACATCGACTGTCAAATCGATCAACCTTTCCAACCACCGCGTATCGCGTTGAAAGAAACAGCCGACGCAGGCTACTACGCAAACAAAAATGTGAAAGACACGACGATGGGGACCATGTGACCTATATCCCTTCGCGTCAGGCGTTCATGATATATGATCGCTCCTTTTTTTCCTCTCTCCCCTTCCGATTCTCTCGGTCGTCAAACAGAAATTTCATTAGTGCGGCCCCGCGTATCCAGCTGAGGCTGCATTACCTGGAATGTTAGGAGTTTGTTATCCCGAAGCCATTGTACACCCCTGATGGGACGGGTCTGATACGGCGACAATATGACGCACCTCAGGGTGATCGTCGAGCCCGACGGCACCCTTTGCTCCTGGGGTCCTATTATGTTCGCCACCGGAGCTGTACTCTCGTAACCTGGAAGTCATGTTCGGACAAATATCATGCGGTGGCTGTGAGAAGCAATTGAATGACCGCGTCGTGACGAGATTACGCGCATATCCGATGGTTGAGGGTAACCATAATGCGCTGCAGAGCGCCAGCGAATTTCCTAACCGAATCCGAAGTTTCCCGGAATCTTGGCTTCGAGGAGAAATGTAATTAGAGTTCCTTAACTGACACTCTGCTTTAAAAACTGCAAGATCTTATAAGAACCAATCACATAAATTTTCATGTAAAAATTCTTTGGAATTTTAGCTCTACGAAGCTCAATATAGTTTTGCAAAAATATTATTTTGATGTGTCTATATATACATATTGTATAATATTGACTATTTATTTTATAAATACATTAAATCATAATATTTCCGCATAAAAACTTATATTTGATTACTCAGCATCAGATGTGCACTATACATAGAATATATCTTTCTCTTTTCGTTATTTTGTTTAATCTAATCGAATATAATTACGCGCGCGAAGCGAAGTTACATTATCCTTTGATAATAAAACATTAAAACAAGCAACGCATAAATAAAAAATTTTTATTGCAATGCATGCATAAAAATATATTAATTAATTATGAAATGTATAAACTTCAATATTTAAATTTTTAACAAGAAATGTAAATAAAAAAATAGAATTTTCTACAAGAATCTTTTGATCAAAATACCTACTTATATTTCCATTAAACTTGCAAATCTCCCCACGTCCATCACTCTGCGCGTCTCGCGCGAGACTGCTGACTGATCCCGTCATTGCGACTGTAAAGTTGTTTCCTCATCGGTTGACGACACCACTGCGCAGAACGGTGACAGTGGTGAGGGGACTCTGTGAAGTTGGCACGGCTTTTTTCGATTTTCAAAAAAAACATATGAGTTCTAGTAGCACTTTTAAGAGTTCTAGAGTTCCTGATAGGTTTCGCAAATAGTTCTGTCAATTTAAGGTCAAAAAACGAATTTTTTAAAAATGTCGTGCTAACTTCCCGTAGCACGACACTTATGCAAAAAAAATTTTTTATTCATGTATTTCGATAGATTTCGACGAGATCTAGAGTTCCTGATAGATTTTAACAATAGTTCCGGCGAACTATGCATTCTACGAGTTAAAAAACAAAATTTAAACGATATTTGTAAAAATTTTATCTTGTTGTGCTAATAGAAATATTCATTTCTCACGGCGCAATTTGCGAGCTCTAGGATAGTTCTGACCTCCAAAATAATGTTCGACAATAGTTCTGTCGATTAACCATAATTAACTTAATTAATTAATAAGCTATTATAGCACGACATCGCGGAAGAGTGTCGTGCTGGTAGAAATATCTATTTCTCTGGGCGCATTTTACGAGTTCTAGGATAGTTCTGACCTCCAAAATAATTTTCGATAATAGTTCTGTCGATTAACAGTAAATAACTTAAATAATTAATAAGATAATTATAGCACGACACTCGAGCAAAGAGTGTCGTGCTGAGTATATATCGCAGTTCTAGGGGGAGTTTTGGCTAGTTCTCGTAGAGTTCTATGCTCTGCAATTATTTTTAAAAATAGTTCCGGCGATTAAACATTTTTTAATAATTTTTAAAATTTTTTAATGTCCGATTTCAGCACGACACTCGAGCAAAGGGTGTCGTGCTGAATATATATCGCAGTTCTAGGAAGAGTTTTGGCTAGTTCTCGTAGAGTTCTATGCTCTGCAATTATTTTTAAAAATAGTTCCGGCGATTAAACATTTTTTAATAATTTTTAAAATTTTATAATGTCCGATTTCAGCACGACACTCGAGCAAAGGGTGTCGTGCTGAGTATATATCGCAGTTCTAGGGAAAGTTTTGGCTAGTTCTCGTAGAGTTCTATGCTCTGCAATTATTTTCAATAATAGTTCCGGCGAGTAAACATTTTTTAATAATTTTTAAAATTTTTTAATGTCCGATTTCAGCACGACACTCGAGCAAAGGGTGTCGTGCTGAATATATATCGCAGTTCTAGGGGGAGTTTTGGCTAATTCTCGTAGAGTTCTATGCTCTGCAATTATTTTTAAAAATAGTTCCGGCAATTAAACATTTTTTATTAATTTTTAAAATTTTTTAATGTCCGATTTTAGCACGACACTCGAGCAAAGGGTGTCGTGCTGAGTATATATCGCAGTTCTAGGGAAAGTTTTGGCTAGTTTTCGTAGAGTTCTATGCTCTGCAATTATTTTCAATAATAGTTCCGGCGATTAAACATTTTTTAATAATTTTTAAAATTTTTTAATGTCCGATTTCAGCACGACACTCGAGCAAAGGGTGTCGTGCTGAGTATATATCGCAGTTCTAGGGAGAGTTTTGGCTAGTTCTCGTAGAGTTCTATGCTCTGCAATTATTTTCAATAATAGTTCCGGCGAGTAAACATTTTTTAATAATTTTTAAAATTTTTTAATGTCCGATTTCAGCACGTCACTCGAGCAAAGGGTGTCGTGCTGAGTATATATCGCAGTTCTAGGAAGAGTTTTGGCTAGTTCTCGTAGAGTTTTATGCTCTGCAATTATTATTAATAATAGTTCCGGCGATTAAACATTTTTTAATAATTTTTAAAATTTTTTAATGTCCGATTTCAGCACGACACTCGAGCAAATGGTGTCGTGCTGAGTATATATCGCAGTTCTAGGAAGAGTTTTGGCTAGTTCTCGTAGAGTTCTATGCTCTGCAATTATTTTTAAAAATAGTTTCGGCGAGTAAACATTTTTTAATAATTTTTAAAATTTTTTAATGTCCGATTTCAGCACGACACTCGAGCAAAGGGTGTCGTGCTGAGTATATATCGCAGTTCTAGGGAAAGTTTTGGCTAGTTCTCGTAGTATTCTATGCTCTGCAATTATTTTCAATAATAGTTCCGGGGAGTAAACATTTTTTAATAATTTTTAAAATTTTTTAATGTCCGATTTCAGCACGACACTCGATAACTATACTATTGCTCGAGTGTCGTGCTGAAATCGGACATTAAAAAATTTTAAAAATTATTAAAAAATGTTTACTCGCCGGAACTATTTTTAAAAATAATTGCAGAGCATAGAACCCTACGAGAACTAGCCAAAACTCCCCCTAGAACTGCGATATATACTCAGCACGACACCCTTTGCTCGAGTGTCGTGCTGAAATCGGACATTAAAAAATTTTAAAAATTATTAAAAAATGTTTAATCGCCGGAACTATTATTAATAATAATTGCAGAGCATAGAACTCTACGAGAACTAGCCAAAACTCTTCCTAGAACTGCGATATATACTCAGCACGACACCCTTTGCTCGAGTGTCGTGCTGAAATCGGACATTAAAAAATTTTAAAAATTATTAAAAAATGTTTACTCGCCGGAACTATTATTGAAAATAATTGCAGAGCATAGAACTCTACGAGAACTAGCCAAAACTCTCCCTAGAACTGCGATATATACTCAGCACGACACCCTTTGCTCGAGTGTCGTGCTGAAATCGGACATTAAAAAATTTTAAAAATTATTAAAAAATGTTTACTCGCCGGAACTATTTTTAAAAATAATTGCAGAGCATAGAACTCTACGAGAACTAGCCAAAACTCCCCCTAGAACTGCGATATATACTCAGCACGACACCCTTTGCTCGAGTGTCGTGCTGAAATCGGACATTAAAAAATTTTAAAAATTATTAAAAAATGTTTACTCGCCGGAACTATTTTTAAAAATAATTGCAGAGCATAGAACTCTACGAGAACTAGCCAAAACTCTTCCTAGAACTGCGATATATACTCAGCACGACACCCTTTGCTCGAGTGTCGTGCTGAAATCGGACATTAAAAAATTTTAAAAATTATTAAAAAATGTTTAATCGCCGGAACTATTATTAATAATAATTGCAGAGCATAAAACTCTACGAGAACTGGCCAAAACTCCCCCTAGAACTGCGATATATACTCAGCACGACACCCTTTGCTCGAGTGTCGTGCTGAAATCGGACATTAAAAAATTTTAAAAATTATTAAAAAATGTTTAATCGCCGGAACTATTTTTAAAAATAATTGCAGAGCATAGAACTCTACGAGAACTAGCCAAAACTCTTCCTAGAACTGCGATATATATTCAGCACGACACCCTTTGCTCGAGTGTCGTGCTGAAATCGGACATTAAAAAATTTTAAAAATTATTAAAAAATGTTTAATCGCCGGAACTATTTTTAAAAATAATTGCAGAGCATAGAACTCTACGAGAACTAGCCAAAACTCCCCCTAGAACTGCGATATATACTCAGCACGACACTCTTTGCTCGAGTGTCGTGCTATAATTATTTTATTAATTATTTAAGTTATTTACTGTTAATCGACAGAACTATTATCAAAAATTATTTTGGAGGTCAGAACTATCCTAGAACTCGTAAAATGCGCCCAGAGAAATAGATATTTCTACCAGCACGACACTCTTCCGCGATGTCGTGCTATAATAGCTTATTAATTAATTAAGTTAATTATGGTTAATCGACAGAACTATTGTCGAACATTATTTTGGAGGTCAGAACTATCCTAGAGCTCGCAAATTGCGCCGTGAGAAATGAATATTTCTATTAGCACAACAAGATAAAATTTTTACAAATATCGTTTAAATTTTGTTTTTTAACTCGTAGAATGCATAGTTCGCCGGAACTATTGTTAAAATCTATCAGGAACTCTAGATCTCGTCGAAATCTATCGAAATACATGAATAAAAAATTTTTTTTGCATAAGTGTCGTGCTACGGGAAGTTAGCACGACATTTTTAAAAAATTCGTTTTTTGACCTTAAATTGACAGAACTATTTGCGAAACCTATCAGGAACTCTAGAACTCTTAAAAGTGCTACTAGAACTCATATGTTTTTTTTGAAAATCGAAAAAAGCCGTGCCAACTTCACAGAGTCTGGTGAGGGTCAGTCGCGCGCGAGACGCGCAGCGTAGCGGACGCGTGAGTCTAATGGAGATGCAAGTATTCTTGTAGAAAATTCAATTTTT